CTGTACCTTTTGTGAATAAATAAATAACAAGTTGCTCTACAATTTCTGAACATTTTTAGTGGTGAACATTTTTAGTTAAAATTAACTTCAAACTGCCTCGGGAGTGCAGTGGTAGCGTATGCGACTGCTGTACTGAGGTCTCAAATGTTTGTATGATCTGCAAATATTTATTTCAGAGTTTGGGTTTTTCCATATATGATATGTATGTATTTACTAAAAAAAGTATACTCGTATGAGTATTCTATCAGTCAATCTGGCTTTCATAGTACAAGCTCTGCTTAGTTTGAAACCAGATGGCGTTGTGTGTTAGATGTCCGTAAATATTAGATAAATTAAAATAAACATTTTTCAAATAACATTCTTAAAAAACATTGTTGCTTATTTTTAACAGAATTGTCAACATTATTGAATTGACAAAAATGAAATACACAGAGTATTGTTATCTTATGCACCACCACCACTTATTGATGTGGTCCATCACCTCGTGATTTTTAGTCCGTTTAATGTTGTCATAACTGCTTTCTACAAAAATCATTGACGAGAATATACTATGCACTCTATTCGCACCCTATAATAGGGAGTACTAATTGTTAACACAGATCAAAAAACAACATGGGAATAGTCCAAAGCCCACAAAGCTAATTTCCGGAATTTATATTTGGACTTTCCGGTTACCCGAGTTCCTTATCGACTTTTAAGGAATAAATGTCGTAATTCATACTTTTCTAAAAAAAGGGCGTACAAAAGTTACCAAACGTAACTTGCCTTTATTTAAATGACCTTGGTAGAAAACTAATATTAGCTACTGTTTGAGCATTGGCAGTTAAATTAGTTTTTCATTGATGACGAAGCGATATATTCTGTAGAAATTAATATGATATGACTTTGTGAAGGTACGGGTGTTATATCCCTCCAACACAAAGGTCCTCCAACCGGGCGAGATGAAGTTTTAAATATACTTATACTCATCGGCGCAAGAACTTTTATTGTGCTATACAGGATTAGTAGTCAGTCCGTAGTTCTGTCTATTAGATGGAACTGAAAGCCTAGTAGGAGTTTATTTCACACCATTTCGATCGTCACGGTCTGCGCGTTCGGCGTTGAGATCTGGCCGCACTGAAATATTCACCAATCGCAACGTCGAACGCGTTCGTCGCCGAGAGCGAGTTGATGTAAAATAAACTTGAACATTTAAGGCTTATTATCGTAATAAAAGTTCGGTCGAAATTTAGTTCCGATCTATCGATCTGGTAACTGTCATAAAAGGTGTTTTCGTATTAAAATAGTAAAGTATTACTAAGACTAGCAGATCACCGATTCAATTTTTGGTTACGATATAATCATATTACAGTCAACCTTGGATGTTTAATACTTTACTACGAATATACCTTTTATGATAGTTGTGAAATCGTCAGTTGATGAGAAATGAATTGCAACCGAACTTTTAATACAAGAATTGGCCTTTAGGCCCTTTGAAGTATGTTACTGTTTTGTTATATATTATGTGAAAGTTGTAACAACTTAATATATACTTTCATTAGCATCGTTTGTAAATATATTAAAATTTGTATTTTTAACCGACTTCAAAAAAGGAGGAGGTTCTCAATTCGTCGGAATCTTTTTTTAACATTTTTTTCTACTTTTAATCGTCATATAGAAATGAAACTTTATTTGTAAATGTAGTTTGGGTAACAATACTATATTTCGCATCTTCTAGCTAAACTGATTCGTTTAGACGAGGCAAACAGATTGGCCGTTGTAACGATCATCTAATCATAAAGTCATATGTATATGTGGAACTCTTTCTTATTTTTCAATTCAGTTTGCTCTTAAAGTGGGTTTTTGTTAAACTGTAAGTCCACAATAGTTCGTCTTTAGCTAAGAATAAGAACAAAATTATAACTTAACCGCTAACTAGAAATCTTATTTTTAAAATGTTATACAACCCATAATAATAAGTAAGTAGCAATCTGCTTTGTTGACCAGTCTGCTGATGAACATACTTACATATTTTTAAATTCGTGATTAAGGGCATGTAATTTCACAAAGTTAGCAAAAAAAAAGTCTTCAAGTACTGTGTACCTAAGTACTTATTACTTAAAAAAATTACAAGTTAAAAGAATTGAGATTGTAAACTGTTGTGACAATTTACATACGATAATACTCGTTATTCTTACAAATAATTGGATCATTTTGACTGCAGCTAAATATTTCGTATGATAGTGGATGTAATGTTTATATAAAAATAATATAACGCAAAAAGTTTATCTGTAAGTCAGCGATAATAGTTAGTTTAAAGTTGCGTGTTATCAAACCTTTTTGGTAGTCATCTTTATCAAAACGTAATTGTTCATTTCTGGTATAGATAAGATTAAATATTTTATTTTAAAAGGCTGTCTGTTTTATTTAATTACTTTTTCTTATGCATATGTCAAAAGGACAACAACTAAATAGTGTTTAGGTAGAAATGTTTTTGGTTCAATGTATATTTAGCGAACCTATCTCTTTAGTTGTGTTCTTTTATTTTAAAATAGATCTACCCTACCACGCATTGTTGTGTCACGTTGCGGTTGCATTGACATGAAATGATTAACAAAAATGATCCGGAAATTAAAATGAAAACAATCTTTGAAGCTGGTTGTATTTTGAGTCAAGATTTGAATTCAAGCGGTGCAGAACTACATGCACTACGTACATGAGTCTATGAAGCAAACATAAAGCAATTTAAAAGTTTTTTTTTTTTACAGGATTACTGGCTAAGTCGACCTAGATACTTTAGGGGGTTATAGTAGCCATTATTTCTAATAGATTTCGCTATGAAATACCATATCCCAAACATAACCATTTTCAAGATATTGGACTTTTAAGATTTTTTATTCAAATTGCCAAAATTTGGTTAATAACTACTTTTTTTTTTTATCAAAAAACTTATTTGTTCTTTTTTTTTTATTATTTTTGTACCGTTAATACATTGTTTTATAATATCGATTCCAAAAATTGTAGTTAACAAACTGGGCCGAAGTAGATGATCAATAAAAGCAACAAATATATTCTTATACACAACACAACAAATATATTAAATTAATAAGAATTACACACACAATTGCTACATAGTTTACTATGTTTCATTATTACTACATGTATTAAGATAAAGATGTTGAATACTTATTTAATCATTAGTAAATGTTGTTAATTAACAAATTGATTCTGCGCTTTCTTATTGTGTTATGTAGTTTAGATGACAATGGTATAATTTAAAATCTATGAGTTGATTTGAAATTGCCTGATAAAAATATTGAAAATGATTTGTTAAAATTATAGGTTAAAAGGAATCGGTAAAACAAACCACTACATTTCTTTTAATAATTCCAACTAATTGGGATTTATTGGACCTTATTAAATTATTTCACTATTTAAAAACAAATATTTTTTTAAATTATAAATTAACATATATTTATGTTATATTTATATATATTGTATGTTTTATAGTATTTTAATGTATATATGAAGTATATATGCTATGACAAACTTGTTTTTAATACCTCTGCGATAGCCATCAATGAGCGGTAAGGCCGCCATTTGTACATTATTTTTCATAGACATTTTAAGTTTCGAAATGTCTGTAATAACTCTCATAATACAAATAGAGTACTATCTATCTATAGTTTAAGGAAGAAGGGCTAACGAGCAATCGGGTGACCTGATAGAACTACTGTCTGCAACTCAGGAGTCACAAACGCGTTGCCGGCCTTTGAGGAAAGAGTACGCTATTTTCTTGAAAGTTGTATCGGTCTGGAAATACCATAGACGATAACTTGTGCCACAGATTGGTTGTGCGAGGCAAAAAGTGTCTTGCAAACTGCACATTGGTTGAGCCCCAATGGGGATGAAAATTTTATAAAACTTACAACTAATTTGAACATTTTCTACACTTTTGAGTTAAATCGTACAATACTTCATTCGCTTACTAAGAATGTTGGTATTCATTAATCTGAAAGTGAAATCGCCGTGGCGTTTACTAGTGAACGTAAATGAGTACAGAAATAAGCACCAGTTATGTTTTATTTTATCTCACCGTATTTCTACTTACTACCGGTATATTATAATCTTTTCTAATCTTAAAACGTTTAAAGTAATGTCTAATATATATCTTAGAAATTACGTATGACAGGACATCGACGGCATATATCTAGCACTGGACAAGTGGTGACCTCTATTAGTGGAACTAAAATTACAGTCGTTAAAATGTGGACCCCTACAGGGGTAAAAGAGTAAAGAGTATATGTAATACATGTGATGTATTTGAGGAATTCAAAGAGCGTTAATGCATTTGTGTCTCATTGCCGGTGATAGTCACTTTACATCAGAAGCCCAAGTGTGAGTTCATTTCACATCTACTCGCTCTCAACGGCGAGCACGTTTAGCGTTGCGATTGGTGGAGATTTCTGTGCGGGCCAATCACAACGACGATCACGGTCACCGTGACGAGCAAGTTGATGTTAAATAAACCCGCACTTAGGCCTCTGATGATTTGTCTGCTACTTTACTCCTCATACGTATAAAAAAATATGAAAGTAACTTGGGCAACGGTAGCTGTCAAAACTTTCCACTCATCTGGTGTCATTTAGTGTACATCGTACGGTTAGCACGTGACACACATTACAACGAACCTTACACTGATTTAAATAACAGACAATCGATCATTTTCAATGGCAATACTCTAATCGTCAATATTGTCGAATGTTGCATAGTTTCAACAGCTGTTTATTATTTTAAAATATACTTTATTGTTATAGAAATAGAGGTTATACCATTTGGCACGTTTAAGAACAAACTATCCAAAGTCATTGAGCAGCAAGCGTAAAGTAGTCTGTCCGAACAGTCATATTTAAACTTCAAATAGTGAATGTCGTGGTTTTAGTAAATATAAACATTGAAAAAAATGAATAATCCATCTTATTAATAATCTTTTTTTGTATCATATTTATAACCGTTTTAAAATGAGTTCATTGTGTTTTTATTTCTATTTATTTAGTGTGTGTTATTTGGCAGTGAGTGCAAATGTTTTACGAAAAAATGATTTATATCGCTTGGATATCGTGCATTATAACGATTTTCACGATAGGTGAGATTTTATTATATATTTAAATTTGTTTTTAATTTTTTATTACCATGTGTATTTTCAATCTTTAATTTTAAATTCATTCTATGAGTATTTTGCATGTGGTCATAGTTGACTTTGAAACGTTGCCAACTGCGTGACAACGTAGATCAAGAAAAAATATATTTTTATTCATGATACATTTAATTATGAAAACCACGAGGGAAAGTAGAATACTTTGAGTAATGAAAAGGGAAATCCCCAGTTAGGTCCTAACTAATATCAAAAAAAAAAGACGGGTTTTTATTATTGCTATAATGAAATATGATTGAAATGAATTGCAATGAGATCCATTGTTAATTATTGGCTATTAAAAGTATATAATAAAAAAAATCTACATGTTTATGTTATTTATGTTATTTATAAGCATAAGTCTTATCTGGTCGGTTCTGCCGCAGAACCGACAACCGTTGGGGAAAACGAGTTCTTAAGTGGAGACCGCGTCTCGGAAAACGTAGTGTAGGACAGGACAGGTGGAGTGAAGACTTGGGCAAGATGGCTGGCAGGTGCTGGATGAGAGAAGCCCAAAATCGATCTAAGTGGCGTGCAATAGGAGAGGCCTATGTCCAGCAGGAATGGAATGCCATAGGTTGATGATGATTATGTATCATATATTACTGCATTTTACTAGTAAAGCATAACATTAAAAAATGGCGATTTTTCATACGACCTCCACGCAAAGGGCGGCAAGGTACCTGTGTCTCACAAGTTGTATGTGGCCATGGCAAATGCCAGTTACTTCTGCAACAGACGACACGAATACTTGTTGGCCCCTATAGAAAAAAAAAAGTTGATGATGTTTTGTATCGTCGTATGCGTGATGTTTCATTTCAAACTCCGACTGTACACGGTAGAAAATACTGCTGTTTTGTCATATTTAGTTTTTATAATAAAGAAAAAAATAATAGAAATAGTTTTGAATGACTATTATTGTTTTAAATGAAGAAAGTTTAAATTGATGTTAAATTTTGAGTCAAATTATTTAATCTTTTTGTTATTTTAAAATGTTTTATTTGGGTTCGTTACTACGTTTTGCTTTAGCTCTACTTTTACAAAAGATGGTATCATCTAAATAGTGATTGTTAATCCAGGAAGTACGGTAATATTTTCATAACTTGGCTGCAGAATAGGCTTTAATAGGTACCTACTAGGCATTCTGATACCTAGTAGAAGTATAGACTCTGGTTTATTCTGCAAATTCGTTTAAGAATTTAATCACAAAAAATACTGGTAATAAAATGTACATAATTTAAGTAAGAGATATACATCTTTTACCTCGATCGCGGTCGCGATATTATAGAAATTGTTAATTAATTTTTGACAAATTTTGTTAAGGTTATTTTAGCCATCCTGGCGTAATTGATTGTAGCAAATATCCATCTAAGGTTTTGCATAATATATTGTAGCTATCTGTATGTATTTAAATATTTATTTACAAATATGATTTTGTCTCTAATTTCATAGATTGTTTTCGATCGAACCTCTGAAAATTTTCGTCTCTAAAATGACTCTTAAGTTAATCTTTATAAAATCAGCTACCTGCCAGTAAAATTTTATCAGAAGCAGTAGAGCGATTTCAAAGATTACCCGACATAAACAGACAACTGTTTAAAGACGGATTTTTGGGCATTCGTATCGTGCAAGTGACTGTATGAGCTTAAAAAAAACTATTAATTATAGTTACATTACAAACATACACTTTAATTTAATTATTTGTATTGATTTGTAGTAAAATTACTTCTGTCATGATAGTGTGACGGATGCCTAATGGATGATGGATTTATTCCTTTTTTAAGTGTAGTGATTATGTAATGATGCACTCACATTTGTAAAATATGGTTTTCGTAATCATCAGTCAAGAAGTTTCAAATTATCTGAAATGAATTACACCTTAACCGATTATCACATTTTACTATTCGATTACTTTGTAAAAATGGAATTAAAGTTTTTTTTAAGAGTATATTAGCGTTCATCCTTTATTGTTTCTTATTGTTATTACTTCTCATCTTTAACCTTCTTTTATTTTAATAGAGGGAAGAAAATCTACTCTTCATGTTTATTTTTATTAACAACCGACATAAAAAGACGGGTGTTATAAGTTTGACGTGTCTATGAGTCTGTTTGTGGCATCTACAATCTTCTACTAATATAATAATATACCGATTAGGATGCGGTTTTTTGTTTGAAATCTGACGACCTGACGTGATCGAAATAGTTCTTAACTATAACTTGTGAAGATCATCGGCTCATTTCTTAGTATCTCTTTTGTTTAATTTCAGTTAATTATATTATCTAAATTTGACATGTACTAATCAATTGGTCTTGACCATGTCCTGCCAAATAGATGCCACGTGCTGCTGTATGTACGAGTATCTCTTAAGAAAAGGGTATATTCTTGTTTGGTTCTGAAACTAGCGGAACATGCCCGAAATACACATATACAGCATATCTTGTATTAATATGAATATAATTCACGAAGGTTTTAGTAATGATAATAACCTTTCACACCTTCCACAGACGTATGGTCCCTAATTAGACAGAGCCTGTACTATGGTAGCCAGAATGCTGATAAACATTCTTACATACATACATGCTGCCGAGCTAAGCTCCATCAAGCGCAGTGGGAAGCGGCAATTCGGATACCGCACCATTTCGTCAGAGGCGGCGATAGTCCTGGCACGTTTCCCGCCTTTTGATATCCTGGCGGATATGGATTCAAGGGTGAATGACCAGACTCACGCGAACCGCCGGGGTGAGAGCTAAAGCGGGAAAGACCAGAACGAGCTAGAAATGCGGCGGAATGCTCACCGACAGGCACTGGTGCAGTGGCGCGCGCGGTTAGGACAGCCGCGGAACGCTTGCCAATGCGCTGTCGGGAGGTTAGGTCACCTGTCGACTGACACAGGTACTCACTGGGCATTGCTTTGGTGAGTACCTGAATCGGATTGGACGCGAGGAGACAGCACAATGCCAGCACTGCGCAGCCGACTGTGACTCCGCTCAGCACACGCTGAAAGACTGCGTAGTCCTGGTCGACCAGGAATCATTGCTGCCATGCTGGAGAATGAGGAGGGAGGGGCGTCGTGGTATCTTTCTGTGAAGTGACGTCGGCGACTGTACCAGCCGTCGACGGGGCCGCGGGCCGCCAGAGGACCGCTGGACCTCTGGTGGCAGGGACCTCTGGTGGCAGATCGATTAATGCGGTAGGGAATAAGTCGCAATAGGGCCGCCACGTCGCGATTGAGGAGGGAAAGTGTTTTCCCCTGGGATAGGTCCTGATTAGGCATGGTGTGAATTCGGGGAGGACCTGAAATAACATGGTCTGGGTTCTCCCATAGTAGTGGACCTGAGGCCGGCCGTCAGGGTGGTTTTTAGTGGAATCACCACACACTTCTGGCTCCTGAGTCCCCGAGGAGCAGGAGAAGAGATTTTCCACACCGTCAACAAAACAAAAAAGACAATAAATGATCGTACTCATTAGAAAAATATTTTTTCTTGGTGGGCTTTGAAACCACGACCAGTCAGGAGTCAGGAGCACTAATCACGAGTTCTACTGCGTCCCCAAGAAGCCGGTGAAGCCGGACATAATAATTAAAGTTTATTAAGAAGTAGGAGTCTCTTATTGACAAGGTAACCGTGTTACAAAACATTTGTAGCGATTTAACATAGCCTTGATATTTGTACAACATGTAATCGGAAATTAACTGTTAAAAGTTTCGTAAAACGCAGCAGTAAAGTATCAGTATGAGTTCAATTAATCTTTACGATAACATTGCATAGGAATGAAAAGGTCAAATTCATGCGTTCGTTGTTTGGGGCGCTTAATTATAGTGCACACATCACATCATCATTGTCACATCAACAGTCTCTAACAGTCCACTGCTGGACATAGGCCTCTCCGTAGAAAGGCGGTTTTGGCCTACTATACCACGCTGGCCAGACGGGTTGGTATAGGATTTGTGTCAAGTATTCCTTCTCTCTGCAGTGCTGTTGTCCTGCGTAGTTTGCTCCCTAAGTCGCCTCTTACGACACCCACGAGATGAATAGGGGTGGTGACACTCTGTATTCTTAATCCGGTACCACACGGACATTATAGTGTAATATTTTTAAAAGCATGTGACTCCCAAAAACTTCTCTACTTCTCTAGTATAGCGCGATCTTACAATACATAGATAATAAGATTGAAATAAGAAAAAAACGGTTTTGTTGTTGTAGAAAAAGGGATTTTGAAATGCTCGAACCCTTCGATAGTTACTTCTATCTCTTAACTCGGCTCAAATAAAATCTCCTATTCAAGAACTTTGAATACGATAGACGATCGCCGTTGAGGCTTTTCTGGATTGTCAAGACAATCATTTTTTCCAAGGGTAGTTTTAGGTTAAGAAAAGTGAAGTGAGTGTTAAGAGATCATGTAGGCCCACCTTTGGATCAAACCTTGTTCATATTTTAGCTTATTGCCGTCCCCCGCTGAAACAAGCCTTCCCCAAAGAGCGCCAGACCAGAACGATGAAGTCGTGGAAGAAACTTTCTATCAAAATTATTAAAGACCTAACGTGGATATCGTAGAATCTCGTCGCAAATGTCTGAATTTCACTTTTATTGGAACATTTAGAATGGAGTAGCTGAAAACCTTACAATGTTATTATCGCCAGTTTTACGATCAAAGTCGATTAAACATCATTGTACGAGGACCTTGTTTCTGTACTATTGAGTTTGTTTAACATACAGTAAGATATTAAATTAAGACATTTATAACTATGTAAATGATAATTACTTGAACTCCGTTGAATGTTTTTTATAATTGTCAATTGCTTCTTTTTAATTTTTAAAAGAAGTAGATAACATAATTTTGTATTTAGCCTTTTGAAGTGGTCTAAGGATTTATTGTCATTAAGTCCGTCTTTGTACACATTGTGTACAAACTATAAATATATAAATTAATAAAATATACAGATAAAATTCCT